GCCTTTTAAAAGGAATGTCCGTCAAATCAAAAGGCATTTTGGCCTCAAATTTAAAAGCATCTTGGAAATGTGCTACAATAGCAGCGTTCCATGCATCAATATCATCTTAATTGATGCCCGAGATTTCCATTGCACTTAGGTTGTTTGTTTGGCATCTAGAGTTAGCAATGGAATGGAAATACTTGGTGTTATTATCTTCCTCTTTGACCCATTTAGAGCGAGATCTTTGAAACCAGAAGATCTCCTCCTTCCTAAAAAAGTCATCAAAGCTTTGTTTGCTTGTTATCAATCAACAATTTTAAAGCAGCAGTTAGTGCCCCATTTTGCTGTTGTATAGTATTAATGGCATCAATATCAGCTATCAAGTTCCTAATGGCATAGCTAATATTACTAAATTTAGCTTTGCCCCATGCAATAAGCTTCTTCTTGATAAATTGTAGTTTCTTGGTTATTACAAAACCCAACCATACAATCACTAGACACTCCGTCCAAGAGTCTTAGACAAGTTTCAGAAGAGACTTGTCATCAAGCCACATAAGCTCAAAGCTGAATGTTGGCTTACTGAGATAATCACCATCAGTGCAGAGGAATAAAGGAACATGGTTTGATGCTGGTTGAGGGGCTGCCTTCACCAGAGCTTTAGAGAAGATAGACTCCCAATTAGGAGACATTAGGAACCAATCAATCTTGGAGAGCTTAGGGTTCATAACCGAGTAATTCAACCAAGTGAAATCGGTTCCCACAATAGCATAGTCGAACAACTCGTTAGACGTGATAAAATGATCAAATAAGACCATTTGAGGTGCGATGTTAAGGTTTGAAGAAACCTCATCAGGATTCCCTACCAAATTATAATCCCCAGCAACACACCAAGGCACAATATAAGAGGAAATAAGGTGAGAGATGGCTTCTAGAAATGCCACTTTCTCACCCACCACATTTGGACCATACACATTTGATAAACACCATAAAAAGGAACAGGTCCAATGAATTTAACAGTCAAGCAGCAGAAAGAAACATCAAAAGCAACCCCGAAACAATAGTGGGGTCCCAAACAGTTATAGACCTCCAGAGAAGATACATATAAAAAGTCTAAAGGGCCAGAGCCCCAAAAAGATCTTATGAACACCAAGTCCAAAGAAACTATCTTCGTTTCTTGCAAAACAAGGATGTTAGGTCTAAAGTCAGACACCAAGCATCTCAACACCCTTCTTCTTCCGATGTCTTCTAGTCCCCGGACGTTCCAAGACAACACTATCATCATGACTGGAAGGCTTGACCTCCCCTCGTGGTCCCTGCAAGACCAGGAGCAAGAGGGTTGAAAGGGAGTTCTGCGAGGAGTTCCTCAATTTCCTGTCGAAGACGAGGCCTACGGGTGGTGGGTTCCGAGCAAGGACCTCTTCAACAATCCTGACCTCCCCTTTAAACTTTAGCCACATACATGCCAACATCTTGCCCGTACAATCCCGTGCTATAGCCCTTTTGTGTTTTTGCATGAACCAGCTAGTGTCCTTAGGGTCGAGGTCTTTCGAGGAGGAGGAGGATTCAATGATTTGCACATGGGGTATCTCCTCGCAGGATTTAGTATCCTGCATAGGGGGTATCTCAAGAACGTTTGTGATAGGGGCCAGTAGCAGTCCTTTGGAACGCTTGGCAGGGGTAGTGATCATAGCAGGGTTCTTCAAGGTCAGACAACCCCAAGCGTTGCTATCTTCCCATGTCATTCCTATACCTTTTTAGCAGTATAATTTGCTTGGCTCTAATGCCTTGCAATTTGCTTGGCTCTAACGCCTTGGGACCATTTATTACGCACATGTACAAATGCGAGCTTGGCAATAAATATATATTTAAAATATAATTTGATCTTAATTTTTAGTTTTAACATAGAGATTATAAATATGAATAAATAAATAAATTTTAAAAACTAAAAATAATAATTATATTAAGAAAATATTTGGACTGTTAGTTACAATTGTTTTTTGATGGACCACCTATTTGCATCCATCTTTAAGATGAATGCTTTATACCTCTGGACCAAATATTGTACAATGCGGTCTAGCCCTCATGAAATAATTGTTCAAATATGAAAAGCAACATGTTATTGTTTTCTCCTAGCTATATGTTTAATATCAATTAGCATGGGCATTTATATGCCTATTTCTTTAAATCACCCCTAGCTAGATATTTAATATCAACTAGCTTGGATATTTATATGCCTATTTCTTTAAATCACCTTTCATGCTTGACCATTCAAAACTTGGAAGGCGTCTATATTCAATATGAAGTTGTTATTTTTTCATGCGCACACACAAAATGTTTGATTTTTTTTTATTTTACACAAGAAAAGTTTAAGTTGTGCTCCTAAATAGTACTCGCATGGAAATCTCCAAGTTTTTTAAAAAGGTCTATGATGCTATCTCAACATGCTATCAAATAAATAATGCTTTTAGCATTTGATTTACTTAGAGTGGTTATTTTTTTAAAATCTAGCAACTTAATAGTTTACATTGAGAACTTCAAATTCGCATATTAAATAATGTCAAGTACATGGGAATTTATAATTAAAAATACACGAGTATTTAAACAAACTGCAGATAAATGAATCTCCCTAACATTAATGCTTTAGCATCATCTTATTTATGAAAATAGCATGTGGATTAAACGTGCAATGTACGTTTTATTGCTGATGTATAATAGGGTAATATCTCTAGGGATTGCTATTTTTGACGTCATATTTTTTTTTTTGAAAAAATAACATATGGACTTATCCTTTTCGTCGAAAATTATGATGAGCACCGCTCTACCTGCACCACTTTTTTTTCCCTAAATTTGGCACCTACATCATCGGGACAAGTGAAACCGTCTGCGCAAGTGCAAATGAAGAAGGGGATGTACTCTTGGAGAGTACGATGTACTATTGCGGAGTACAGTATAAGCTTCCTCCGTTGGTAAAAAGAGGAGATTTTTTTTATTTAAAACTTTTAAAAATGTAAAATTTAAAATTTGAGTTTTTTTTTTACTTATATCTTACACTCTAAAAATTGGACGGTCTCTATTCAATCTTGAAACGATATTTTTTTTCAAGTATGTAGATGGCACAATTAGAAACTTTTTTTTGTTGAGGTTAATCTATGCGTTGAAGAGGTTTTATCTCCAAATTTTGGGATCCTTAAATTAATCTTAGGTAGGCTTTTACTTGAGGGAATAAATGGACAGTGTACTATTGAAGGAGTATAATATCTTTCGATAAGGATCCTGACTGGGTTTAAAACAAAAGAACCCACGTGGCAATCATATAAAGGGGCAATCCAAAAAATCAGACCGTTAATGACCAAAGGTGTTAGGGGTGATTTTTTTTTAATTGCCAAAGGAATTTATACTCCCTCGGGAGTCTGCTGTTCATTTATTCCCTCATTTAAAACCACACCTAGGATTAATTTAAGAAACCCAAATTTTAGGGATATAACCTCTTCAACCCATATATTAACCTCAATGAAAACAATTTCCTAATTGCACCTTCTACATACTTGAGAAGATAATATCTCAAGATTGAACAGAGACCCAATTTCAAACTTTAACTTTTAAAAATAATCACTAGCAATAGTTAGGTGGGCTCCAAAAATTTTAAATTGAAAAAATCTTCCAAGTTTTTAAATTATTTTACTTTATTTATTTTAAAATTATTTGGATAACTGATTCAGACCGATTCAGATCTTATCTTGATTGCTGATCCAATGATTCTATGCAAATGCAAGTTTTAAAACACTATGTAACACTGTTAAATTAATAACACAATGTGATGGTGGGAAGCGGTTAAGGATGTGGTGGTAGCATCCCATTTCCTAGTCACCACGTAGTGTGTTTCTTATTGAATTACCCAAAAAAGAGGAAAAATTATATATAAAAAAAAGCCATACTTTCTATGCAATTTACCCCAACCTAACTTTTTCTCTCTCATTTTTCGCCAAAACAAACTGAGTACTACCGAACTACCATTTATATAGTGCCGGAGCACTAGAATCCAATATCATCTACTACTAGACCGTCCTTTACAACTGCTTGAGTACTACCGGACTACTATTTACATAGTGCCGGAGTCCTAGAATCCAATATCATCTACTATTGGACCGTCCTTTACAACTTCCGGGCCGCACTTTACACAGTGTCAGAGCTCTACTGCTAGGCCGCACTTTATACAGTGCTGGATCAGTATTGCAAGACCGCATTTACGTAGTGCTGAAGCCCCTATTTTGGTGAGATAGGGAGCGAAGCGTGGATGAGGTAAAAGTAAAAGAGGGTGGTTTAGGTATTTTTTTATTTTTTATTTGATTGGGGATATTTGTATTTTTTGAAAAGAAAAAGTGAAAAAAAAAGTTAAGTTGGGAGTAACTTGCATAGAACTTGAAAGATTTTTATAATTTTCCCAAAAAAATAACACAATGCGACGGTCAAGAATCTTCCACCATAGTACATGTGAATTATTCATTCATGTAGAAGTTCCCTATTTCGAAAACCATAAATCAAGTTTTTGACTCAGTTTTTATGGTGCACGTCGCAAAAATATAACCATTAAGGTACATTTTTTCTTGCTCTTGTGTCTAATCCGTTTTAGGGTTGTTGACGGGTGGAGCCAGCACTTGGGCCTCTGAGCCGAGTCCCAATTGTAGCCTCCGTTTCAGTTGCAAGTCAAGGACTACTAGCCCAGCCTGATAGGCCCCAAATATTTTGGTTTTGGGTGGGGTCCAGTCTCAGCTAGGCTCAAAACTTAGTTACTGGGCTTGCCCCCTACACTAATCCAAGTCAGGCACGGGCTAGAGCTGGCTCAACCCAAAATGCGCCTATTAACAGCCCTAGTCCCTTTCTGAATCCGGCTTGCGTTGAAAATGTTGCAAAATCGATCGATACAATAATAATAAAAAAAGAAACAAAACAAAACAAAAATAATTTTTAGTAATAGTACTAATATGATGACTCTTATGTGCAGCAGTACAAACAGCACCTTGATGAAATATGCAATAATTTTCACTAGTTTAACAAATGTAAGTTATTTGCTATTTTCCAATTTATCATCCCCCACCACGTTTCCCCATCGAAACCTTTCGGGGTTTCTATCATGGGGAAAATGAAAAACCAATCCAAAAACCATACCCCATCCAAATTCAGGGTAGATCCAAGGCTCCAAATCCTTCAACCCTATACAAAAACCTAATCACTTAATAACACTTTTTTACAAAAATCTTCGGATTTCACCATAATATCACTGTTATCTGGAACATACAGTGGCCTCCTCATTGATGGTCTCCAAACGTGGTTTCCTTGATCTACACATGCTCAACCTATGATTAAAACCCATTGGAAAGTCCTCAACCTCCTCAAATCCCGGTCGCCGGAAATTCACTTCCCCGCCGCAATTTCCGACCTCCCCAATTTCTGTCGGCCGGGAATCAATTTTCCTGGCATAATCCTCTTCTTGAATAATTTCTGGCAACACCCTTTTCAAACCCCCAGAAGTCTTCTTAATAGCCTTATCAGCCCTCATTAACATTCCGGCCATATCTGCTGGAGAAACCATGGAATTAGCCCTCCTCATTGGGAACATGAAGTAGACCTCCCCCATGTCTAGGTCCTCATCAGCAGGAATCGGGGAGAATCTGCGACCAAGATGAACCGATTTCGAATTGGAGAGGAAGTGATTAGGAGCCTCCAACATGAGCTCTGCAGCCTTAACTGGACGATCGAATCGTCTTATCGATCCATCAGAAAGCACGACTTTTACACCGGAATTCTTCGAGGGAACGCCGGTAGATGCACAAGAGATGTAGTTTCCCATCTCTCTATCAATTTTGTGATGGGTTTTCACAGAGAAAGAGGAGTGAGTCAATGGATTTTTTGATAGAGAGTCTGGATTGTGTGATGAATTTTGTGAATGAGAGTCATGGATATGTGTATATATAGTGATTGTGTTTGATGATTGAACCAGTTTGGATCCAGTTGGTTTGACGAGTTAAAAATAAAGTACGTTACGCGGGGAGAATTAAATAAAACCGGGTTTGGCATGTGGAATTGGATGTGGGTTTCCCTTATATTTCTCTTGTGGGGCCATGCTGTAACTTTAGTTTGGTTAATTTTTGGAGGGTCTTAAAATGTGGTCAGTTGCTAGCTGTTAAAAGGGACAATGTTAGTTGATGTCTCTCTTGTTGGGGTTCCTAGGTTTTGGATTTCCTTGTTGGCTCTCTCTTTCTTACTTTTATCTAATTAAGAGGTAGTTCATGTCTGGAATCTCTGTGTTTTTACTCCAAGTAGATGTACTCCAAACATGTTTTTATTGGGGATCCAACGGCTACCGATGAACTGAGTCAGTTAAATATGTGATTCCCATCTGGCTTGCTAAATGATTAGTGTAGTCAGACATCAAAGAAATTTTAAAAAGTACAAAATAAATAAATAAACTGTAATTAAAGTAAATTTTACTTGTTTCTAATTGAATTAAGCGATTTTGAATCAGTTTAGTGATTTTTTAGATACATACATGTGCTACCTTGAGTCCTTACCATACACACATTTTTGAGGTATCCAAAGGCTTCTTAGTCCTCTCGAGACTACCTTCTCTGCACACCGAGTTATGATTGTCCTCAACAATGTTTGCAAAAATCAAATTAGAACTGCCTAATTAGTTCATATCTTGTCACTAGCCCATACAAAGCACATACTTATTTTTAGTGTTTTACATTCTCATTTTTTTTTATAAAAAATTTCAAAAAAAGAAAAAACCTACGGGCACAAATCGATTTTTTCACTAATTTTCAACTTCATTTAGATGTGCTTTGTTTAATCATGTTTTGGAATTCTTTTTTTTTTTTAACATTTTTTGACCAATCAAAACGTACAAGGTTAAGCCAGTTCGGCTGAACCGGCTGATACATGGATTACTCGGCACCGGCCTTTAACAAGTTGTTCGATTTTTCAAACACTAGTCCCAAATGTGTCCCTCTAACCTATTGCAGCCCTCAACTTTGAAGTTATCTTGGGCTTTGAAACATTTTAACCGCGTTGAATATTCATGTGGGAAGAGAAAGGAAGCACATAGATCCTTGACATTAAGTGGGGCTACAAAAATAAGTGGCGAATTTTGAAGAGGCCCTCGGTGATTAAAAAAATGGGGGTTGACATGGTGTTGTTTGCGCGTGGGCCCCCACTCCCATGAAGAGCTGTTTCCCACCCCATCTCACTGGTCCGATGCATACTTCGCACACTCGTACTCTGCCATGTGGCAGATTTCTATCTTTTGGATCTTCATCGGCATAAAGAAATTTCTTGGCTTTATTGTTTTATGCTTATTACGTATGTGACGTACAAGTCCTGTTCGTGGAATTTTCATCGTTTCGTCGGCAAATTTTGGACGGCTACGATGTAATGACGCCGTCGGTTCGTTTGAGGATTTAATTGAGGGCCCATCGAGGTGCGGTCCACATATGGTGCGGAACTTAAACAATCAAAGTGTCATACACTTTGAATAAAGCAAGAGAGAGCGGGAGAAAATGTTAGAGAGGTTATGAGAATGGCTTGGGCCTCTGGAAAGTATTTTGGAGCCCCCATTTATTAGGAAAGGGGCTGAGGTCATAGTGGTAACATCCTTATTGCAAAGCCATACTTATTAGGAAAGAGGCTGAAGTCATGGTGGTAGCATCCTTATTGCAAAGCCACACTTATTAGGAAAAGGGCTCAGGTCATGGTGGTATCATCCCCATACCCAATTACTATATAAAAAGGTTAACACTTTTAAAATGTAATTTTTTAATCTATTAAAAAAGGGTAGGGGATGTCTTCCCCACCCAATTATCAAAAAAAGGTTAACACCTTGAAAATGTAATTTTTTAATCTATTGAAAAAAAGGGGCAGGGGCGGTCTTCCCCATTGAATTACAAAAAAAAACGTCATGTTTTCCTACTGTATTACCCAAAAAAAAAACTTACTAATGACGCAATTTTGGTGCAAATTTTTTTATAATAATTGAACATTTAAAGAAGGATACGGTTTCTATGCGGCCAGCCGCATATTGTATAAATGGGGGCTTGGTAATAAATACATTTTTAAAAAAATAATTTGATCCTAACTTTTAGAGAATATTTTAATTTTTAACATGGAGATCATTAATATGAAAATAATAATAATAATAATAATTGAAAACTAAAAATAATAATCATATTGAACGAAAGCATTTAGACTGTTAGTTGCAATTGTTTGTAAATGGACCACCTATTTTCATCCATCTTTAAGATGGATGCTTTATACCTTTGGACCACATATCGTAGAAATGTGGTCCAACCCACATGAAACAATTTTCCTGTAAGGAAAGGGATTGTCTATAGAGAGACCGTTTTCTTTTTGTACAAAGTGGTCACAACTATTCCTACTCATTACATGGCAAATTGGATGGCTTGGGGTGAGTTACAAAGCCCGAAATTTTTTTGGAACTTTGTGCCTATTCAATGACACTCTTATAACCACCTATTTTGAAATTTAAAGGACAAGGATGATTATGACCTTATTGTACAAATGGTAAATGGTCTCTTTGTAGACAATCCCACACAACTTTATGCTATAGAAGTGAGGCACACCTAAAAAATCTATCAAAAAATTTTAGTTCTATGCTACAAAAAAAAACTCTTCTTGATCTTCAAAAATGTAGATTTAGATAAAAAGAAGAAGAAAAACATTCCAAGTATGAAGAGTTATGGGTTGAAAAGGTGCAACTTAATAACTCTTTGCATGAATTGGTTAGGTTTGAGAAAGCCTATTTGGAAACAAAAATCAAGGGTGCAATGGATAAAAGTGGGAGATCTAAATACTAAATTATTTCTTTCTATTGCAAATGTGAGGAGGAGGCAAAATAATATATTAGCTATCAAGTTTTGATGGAATACATAGTGATGATTTGTTTGGTTAGGAAAATGGAATACTTGATCATTTTTAAAGAGCTTTTTACTAGCGAATATTGCTTTGCTGTGCGGATGAGTAGAGTTCGTTTTAAAAAATTGTCAGTTCATGAAGTTACTTGTTTGGAGGCATCAATTACTATGGATAAGCTAAAGAGAGATGTGTTTTCATTGCCTAGCAATAAGGCCCCAGGCCCAAATGGGTTCCCTTCAATCCTATTTTAAAATTTTTGGCATTTAATGAGGGATGAGATATTAACAATAGTGGAAGAATTTATAAAAAGGAGGGTGATTGACAAAAGCATCAACTCTACATATATTACATTATCCCAAAGAAAGCGATAGTTGATAGGTTTAATGATATTAAGCCTATTAGTTTACTTACTAGCCTATATAAGATTATTATAAAAATCTTAGCGTAGCAGTTGAAAAGATGTTGCCTTTAATTATTTCAAAGCCCCAAACAACTCTCATAAGTAGCTGTTTGAGGTCATTTTTCTTCACCTTATATCCCCGATGCGGAATAAAGAGAAGCCAAGATAATAAAGCTCTAATCCAGAAGCGAAATTTTCAATAGTCTCAGAATGGCTCAAGAATGATCAAGAATGTTGATAAAGCTCTCTTAAGAATACTTCCCAAGTTTCATTGCAATCTGACGAGTCTAAGGTAGTGCAAATGCAGAAACAGTTTTGGAAAAATCAACCTCTATCACCTTAAAATGGACCTTATAGCTACAGTCAAATCACTAGAGCGTCAAATAACCATGAGACCATTATCATTAGATCCGAAACATCCGAAAACCCTTAGAGACTAAGTTTCGGGTTGATCAGACGTTCCTGGACCAAGTTATGGTGAAATTATCTGAAATGGGTAGGTCACACGCTATTACGTGCACCCTCAGTAAACGAGTTTCCATTAATGGAAACTGTGTTCAAGGGTTTCGAGCTTAACTTTGAAAGACCATATCTCTCTTATCCCAAGCCGGATTAAGCTCAAATTTTATGGGCGTGTTCATCTCGTTGACCCGAGTATTTTGATATGTGGCACAACTCATGCCGCGTTGACCCGAGCCGGAAGAAAAACATGAGAGAAGCGATTCAAAGCAAGCTTGAAGGTTTTTCAGCAGGAGCACACCTCAATCGAGAGGCCACATCATGACTCTCGTACGTCGAATCGACTCAAAATCCAACCCATTACAAGCACAAGGTTTGAGGCTTCATCAGAGCTGAACCTCGCACGTGATAGACGGTCAGATTTGACGCGCGACGAGTACGAAATTGCTGCACTTTTCAGCCACCGGAAACCAAATTTCGGATAAAAGATCAAAAGTGGAAAATAATCGTTCGGGCACTAAATCAAGCCACGTTCGTCGCCAAGAGCTCATGACAACTTGCTCGTCGATATTCAACTAAGAAATCATCGAAAGATGCAGAGAAATGGGCGTAGTCTTTAAATAAAAATCACACGTTTCTCGAGATTTTTGTACTTCGTGATCGTAGCCCAAAGACCTGATTCGTGGCTTGAAAGTGGTATCAAAACGACCATCTTCTAAAGCCAATCAAAACAAGAATCATCTTCGGCCAAATGGATATCAGAAAGACCCCGAACCAACCCGGAAAGTTCGCAAGAGTTCTTGGGCACAATAGGGACTCAATTGGGATTTCGTGGATTGTTGGTGTAGGGGCAAAATCATCATTTTGCCCCATTTTCTTAGATTTTCTTTAATTATTTTAATGCCAACTTTTGATTGTACACCCACCTTCGGCCCCACTTCTATATAAACAAGCACACACCTCATGTAAAAGGATCCAAGTTTTATCAATAAAAATTCTACTTGTTTTTGCTTGAGATTTTGGGTCACGTCTTAGAGAGAGAGAGGAAAGAAAAACTTCTGATGGTACCCCCGGGCGTAAGGTACTCTTTCTCTCTCTTCTTTCTCTTTCTTCTTTCTCTCTCTTCTTTCTCTCTTCTTTCTCTCTTTTTCTCTCTTCTTTCT